CCTCTGCCACCCCAGTCTCTTCCACCACCACCATCTCTTCCATTACCACTATCTCTCCCACCACCACCTTCTCTACCACCACCCCCACCATTGTTCAAGCACCCCTCAAGCAAAGAGCGGTATCCTGTTCAACAACTGCCACCGCTTCCACCACCACCGCCGCTTGTTGAGAAAGTTGAGCCTCCCCCAAGTGTGACATTGGACGATCTTTTTAGGAAGACGAAAGCAACACCTCGTATTTACTACCTGCCATTGACTGATGAACAAGTCGAAGCAAAGCGCAAGGCGGCGGCAGGACCAGGGAAGGATGATGATACTATGCAGTAGGGATTAGGCTTCTTACTACTCAAATCACATGCCAAAAAAAGCTCATCCTCTTCTATTTCTAAATGGATTGGTCAATACTACACCCGTAAGATGATAATGGTAAGACATTGTCATATAATTGAATCTTTGCAGGTATGTGCAGGTCTTGCATGTAGGATTCCAGGAGACGCTGGTTCGATGTGGGTTTCCGAAGACATTTTTGGGTTTGAAAATGAATTTTGGTTATTTTGTATTCCCAGTGGATCATCCTTGTCTTGTGTATCTAGCTGCTTCTCATTTGAACTAAGCAGATTTCGCTGTTTGAGTTTCCGCTGGTTAGAATTTGATATCTTGGTGAACCAGAGTTCTTTATCCCCTGTTCCTCTCATTCAACCTTGCATGTAGTTCAGGATTTACTACTTGTTTTTAGTGTGGACATAGTTCCTTGTTTTCCATCTTATCTTAGTTATTAACAGTGTTCTAAATAGTGCTAGGCGCTAGTCGGGCCTCAGCCTAGCGCCTAGATGGCTACGTGGGCGCCTAGGTGGGGATTAGTCGGATAATTAAAGAATATAGTTTTATCAATACTTTTGCATAAATATGATTAGTAATGTTGTGTTTGTGCGTGTATAAAAATTCACACAAACTTATTAACATGTATGAACGATAGAGTTGCCATATTTAATAATATACTCCTTTTGTCCCGCTAAAAAGTTCTCCCTTTCCTTTTTTAGCAGTCTCAAAAAGTTCTCCTTTCCTTAATTGGCGAGTTATTTACATTAAACAGTGCAAAACAGTGTGACCAGTGCCAAACAGTGTTGAAACAGTGTTAAAACAGTAAAATTTATTAGGGGTGTTGGATGGGTGGATGTCAATTCGGTTTTCTTTGATTTCGGTTTGGTTTCGATTTATTCAGGTTGGGAGAATTTGTTTCAAACTAAAACTATTTGTGTTTCGCTTTGATTTCGGTTCGGTTCGGTTTACCAAAGTAAAAATATTATGTTTAATTTAGTTTGGTTTGATTCGTTTGCTTATGTTTATTATTTTATTTGATCAAGTTCTATATTTTAGAATTAGAAAATGAAAGTAGTAGTCCATCTCATCTTTTTTTAATTTATTGATTATTTAAATAAAATGTAAAAGGAAATAAAAGATAGAAAAATAAATAATAAAATATTATAAATTAAAGCTTCTAACATCTTTTTTATCACTACAAAAAATTCACTTCTTACAAAAAATAAGATAGTTGATTAGCATTTATAATATCACATAAAATATTCAAAAAACCTAAAAGAGTCGGCGGTACAAATGTATATTTACAATTTTATTCAAATGAATCATGTAAAAATATAAATGCAATTTGTTATTGTTATCGCAAACATAATAAATACTCCGTACAAGTATGTCGTATTAGCTAACTTCGTCATAATGAAAATATGAAATGTATAAAAATTAAAATGATACGAATATATGCTTAGATATGTATTTTCATGTCTAAATTATTTATTTATATCTTAAAAATGAAGAGTGAAGATAAATACAAAGTATATATAGTTTTAGAAGCTAAAACTATATATACAAACTAGTAATACTTTGACATGAAAATATTTTAGAAGCTAAGTCACATGTTTTTTCATAACATGCCTGAGTACATAGTACTAGAGATTTTTTTTAAACCACAAATTTTTTCATGATCTATGGGTCAGATACTCAGATTTAGTATTAGAAATTTATTTAGTTTGGGAAAAAAAATAAAGTATATAAAAGTAAGTTATAAAATGCTAAAAACGTGAAAATTGATTTTCCTAATTTAATAAAATATACTCCGTACATGTTAGTGAATGATTCTTAACTGTTAATAACATGGAGTAAAATAAGCTATTCAACGTCCAGCGTTGCATAGACTTTAAAAAAAATTATCCCAATCATACACACACATATATGTATGTGTGTGAATTTGTGTATATATATGTATATAGTTTGGTGTTCGGTTTACGTTTTTTCCATTTTAAATCAAACCATTCGGTTTGAGCAAATGTTTACCATACAGTTTACTTAAGTAAACTCAACCCAAACGAAACCAAATCAAACCACCAATTTTAATAATATATGAAAGTTTTTTGAGTTTCTTTTGTTCGGTTCGGTTTTGTTCGGTTTTTATCGGTTTCGGTTCGCTTCGATTTAATATGGTTTGAAAGAAATAGTACCAAACTCAAACCAAATTGCATATAGTCCGTGACGAGCACTTTATCACAGTGTGTCAAAATAAATCGATACTAGCACTTATACATAGTACAGGTGAAGTAGAGTTCGTATCCATAGAGAAAGAAGTAATTCTCTTTTATAAAACTAGTAAATAAAAGGGGGGTTTTGGGATTGAGTGATTTAATATAATTAAGCATGAAGATGAACGACTTATATGAAATTTAATTCAAGAATAAAAGGGACTTGGTCTTGCTACTTTCCACTTGTTGATATATTTTAGTCGATCATTGTTATATCTATAACTTATCCCCCCTCGAATACTCAATCGAGGAGTATATCCAATTCATCGAGGGTAGTTATTAACAACGACCGTTCATTAACAACCTTTAGTATTAATCAAATATAGAACAACGTCGTATACCGATTTAATAGTAGCATTTAATCTTTTTAACTTCTTGATGAAATCAATTGAGATTGATAACCTTAACACAACGGTTTCGGTTTAACCAACAAAATTAATTCCTTTTAAGTTTATTAACCACGACCGTGCATTAATAAACCGAAGTTACTTACTTGTGAAACCATCAACGATTAACCATCGGTTCGTTAATTGTTTCTAGTGATAATTAATGTCGGAACATTAACTAATCGTCACTTAGCAACCCTCCAACATTAATATAGAATGAGATTAAGGGAAGAATTAATAATCAAGAGAAGAAGTTAAGAAAATAACTCACAACTTCAATAATCAACAAGCTAGCTTCAAGAGCAAAACCAAAAAATAGAAGTTTAGGTCCTCATTTGGAGACTGAACATGCTATAAAAATATAAGAAATAACTCTTCTAAACTGAGCTTATGTATATGGAAGAAGGGATGGTTTTAATGTGAAGGGAAGGAGGTGTATTTATAGCAAAATGGAGGTGGCAGGGTTGTGTACTCGATCCAATATTGGGGATATTGGACCGAGTATGAGAGGAAATTTCCAGGAAATTGTGAAAAATAGGCATACTCGACCGCGTATTGCCAATACTCGACCGAGTATGACAGGATTTTCATCAAATATTCAGCCACGTTCTTTTGCTTCCAGATTTGATTTTGACCAGCGTATCTGACCAATACTCGACCGAGTATTGGCAATACTAGACCGAGTATTGAACAAATATCAAAATCTTCATTTGATCTTCTCCCTTTTGCACATTCTTTGGTCTTTAGGATCCATCCTTTGATTCTTGGGATGATTTTGACCTGTCCTAAGCTCAGATTAATCCTAATCTAAATAAATTACAAATAATTAATGAAAATAAAGTATTACACCAAAAGTGTGTAATTTCCACAACTAGAACTAATAAAACTAGTTAAAAATACAAACATACATAATAGGAAATTCACACCATCAGTTCGGTTTCGGTTCGGTTTGGTACGGTTCGGTTAAACCAAACCGTTATGCCCACCCCTAAAATTTACCCCCTGGTAAGTTTATTTCCTTAATATGTGTGTAGGTCATAGCGGGAACATCTTTACGGGACGGAGGGAGTATTATATCTACTCATTTAACTTCATTATGTAAATATTACGGAGTATTAAATAATAATCACTTAAGATTATATATAAACATGTATAGTTTTTATCTTAATATACAACTAGTAGCTTTTTTTTATATGCGTTGTTAAAGTACATATGCTTTGTTAAATAATAAGACCGGAGCATTAACTTCATTTACTTTTTTACCCTCACATCATTTCATTAAGGCTAAAGGGTCAAATAGACCCTTGAACTGACTTAAAGTGTTCAATTAGCCCCTTATATAGGAGATCTGCCTGGCCATCGCCAATTGGGGCAGTTCCCGGTGAAATTTTTTGATGCAATTTTTTTGAGCATCTTCTTCATTAAGTCTAGTTTACTCATACCAAATTTCAGCTAAAAATTCAACCGGGAAGGCAGTCAAATGATTTTTTGAAGATAATTGCGAAGTTAAAAAGCACAGTACATTTCGGAAATTCATTTGACTCCCTTCCTGGTTGAATTTTTAGCTGAAATTTGGTATGATCAGTAAACTAGACTTAATGAAGATGTTCAAAAAATTTCATCAAAAACTTCCACCAGGAACCGCATCAATTAGCGACGTCCGAGCAGAACCTCCTATATAAGGGGCTAATTGAACACTTTAAGTCAGTTCAAAGACCTATTTGACCCTTTAGCCTTTCATTAAATTGATGTGTATTACCTTCATTTCATTATTCATGAACTTCTTTATTATATCCATTTGGGTAGTAGTAGTACATCTTAAATTACCCAAGGGTGTTTTTGAAAAACTAACCTTATTTCCTATTCAGCTATTCTACTTAAGAAACAGTAAAGTCAAATCCGGAACTTAGAGAGTATTAAATTCAAATAGTCAAATAGTTATCTCTATTTGTTATACATATTAATATCAATAATGAAAAATTGAAAATCTACATACCGTCATATTAGACTAGAAGTACTCCTATTGAATAGCAAACATTAACTTAGAATATGAGAAAAGTTTATTAAAGAAAATTACATACTACGTATTATAGAGATACTAGCAGCTAGTGAATATGATTAGATGCATATTCAATTCATAGAAAAAGTGGGGTTTAATTAATTCGTGGAAAAAGCGAACCCCAATTACAATAAATAATAGTCGCGTAAAGAAAAAGTTACAGCTCGTTATACTACATAAGAACGTAACGAATATAAGAAGTCTCATCCAAAACGTACATAGTCTTCGTTAATGAGGCCCCAATTGAGTACGCAGCTAACTAAGACGTACCGAAGATCGATCATATCGAGTTGGTAGGGCCTGGGATCGATCAGTTCTCCGCCGGCCTATGGTCGTCTGTGGTATTTGGTGTCACCACATCCCATAATGGACGCAGGCAGTTTCCCGACCTTTTCAATCCCTTCCTCAAAAACCACACCCATCCCCATGAAGAAATGCGCATCCAGGTGACAATGAAACAGCCACACCCCCGGGTTATCGGCCTTGAACCGCAATGCGGTCCACCCGTAGGGATGGAGCGGGACAGTGTTCTTCATGATCGGGTTCACAAGGTTGAACTTGGCCGGGTCAGTTGAGTTGTTATACTTGCCTGGTCCGTAACCCAGCACCCAAAAGTCATGCCCGTGCAAATGCCACGGATGCAGCTCGCTGTTATTAGGGGTCAGCGTGTTGGCATTCTGAAGGATGATGTCCACAGTTGAGTTGAACTCCAGCCTGTAGTATGAGTCGCTAAGCGTGGCGTTTGGGTTCTTCGGCGGGGAATGGATGTCGTAGTTTTCCACGTCGTAGGTATCCGGAGGCTGTGTCCGGTTGAGACCGTGTTCGTTGCCGTTTTGAAGCGCGACCAGATATGGCGTTAGGGGTAAAAACAAGGACACATTATTTATCGCCCACTTCCTAATCCCGTTAACGTTGTTTTGCGTGTTGAGCATCACAATTTCGCGGTTTGATTTTTGGGGCGGGGGCTGGATGAAATCCTTGTGGGCCTTGATCGCCAAGCTCTGGTTCAGCCTGGGCGCGTTGTCGTCCCAACGCACACCGACCGGTGGACGGGTGGGCGGCCTTTGCATTGGATTGTTGCTGTCATACCTGAATATGCCCAACCCATTGGGTGTGGTGCGGTTTCGAGCCACTACCGCTGAACTCATCCAGTAGCTCCTTGTAGGGTCTTGGCTGGCGTTGACCAATACCGAATACGTTTCCCCCGAATAAATGAACAGATTTTTCACCACGAATGGTTCCACGTAGTGACTATCCGCCTCAACCACGGTCATTTCATGACCCTGCATCCAAATTCAACCAACACACGTCAAATTTCTTTTTCGGAAAGAAACATGTGATCTACAACATTTCACTTTATTATATTCAAATCTCAACTATAATCTTTACTTTTTCAAACACTTTGTTAATAATTAAGCCAAACTAAAAGTAGAACACGAAAAATGGGATGAAGGTAGACAAGTACGGAGTAGTATATATATACCTCGATTTCGAAATTTAAAGAAGAAAGGCCTGTCAAGCTCCCGATCCTAAGCCGGTATATCTTGCCGGGAACGACGGTGATGGAATAAGGCCCACACTCCGGACTTGAGTTATTACAAACTGCATCACTGCATGCACCGCTACAGTTGAACCATCCTCTCCCATTTATCAAAAGTGACTGCACAGAAAATAAAGAAAATTAGACATCCTATGGGCAGTGGCCGAGGATAAAATGGTGAATCATTTTTAAAGAATGTCCGAGTTGAATATTTCATATGCAGTTTAGATAAATAGGCACTCGTAGCAATACGATAGGTTTTCTTTGCTTTGTTTATGAGTCGTGTCACGTAAGTATTGAGTGAATTATATCCTATTTTTTTAAATTTGGGAAAATATTCTACATTATGCATCAAATTTTGTTTATTTATCGTTTGGATAGTGTTGATTTTCCATAATTTATACTCGTAACTTTTTACTCGTAATGAGTTACAGTGGCCATAATATATCAAATCAAAGATACTTCAGAGTTCAGAGCTTTATACAATCAAACTTTCAACGGAGTCGGCTGACCTGACTCTGCATGTCCCTGCCTGTGGGAACATGTATGTGACTATTTTACAATGGACTAAAATTTCGTTGACATCCTGTGGGAACATGCTCTTTTCTCTTAACGCGTTCAAGGAAAAAAAAATTAACGCGTTTTTTCGGAAAGGGTCCGCGGTAACAATTTCGTTCCATGTTTTTTACGGGATGATAATTTAACTATGATCTGGCAACAACTACTACAAGTCTTCAATAAAAAGGAAAAGACTTTAAAGTTTATACAGAAAATTTGGTAACATAACATGTTTCCTTAAGTAAGAGAGTATCATTACATTTTGCTATAAATAATTCTTATCAACTTCAATTGAAAATTTCGTAGTTGTTTTGATTGTATTTTAGGAAGTGTGCCTTTTTTACACTTAACTAAGGAATTGAAGTTATTTTGATTTTTTAACAAATTGCTCAAAATATATAGAACAAATTACGGAATATTTTTTATTCCTTAAAGAGAATTCAATTAGTTTTATTAAACAATAATATATATAAAAAATTCAAAATAGATGTGAATGATTCTTATTTTAGATAATAAATAATGACACTGGTATTTAGGAGATTCATCTCTTTATTTTATTTCAGAGACGAGTCATATTTTAATACTCCGTATAAAACAAGAGTGCTCTTATTTGAATCGATGTTTCATACTTTATTCTTAATTATTTCCAGCTATTTATTAAAAAAGTACAAGCTCTTACACAATTTAAGGATCAATCGCTATATTTCCCAAAATTCGCTGAAAACATCACATGAGCTCCCATTTGACATATATTTTGGCACTGTATGGCTGATGAATAGTTTTGGCATGTGTCTGGTTTTGAGCTAGGATTCTATGGATCTCATTAATTATGGTTGCCGGTTGGCTACACATTCCCCCCTTAATATATCGTAGTACTATCGTATAATTAAGAAAAAATCTTGTTATTTCATTTTCATAAAAGATTAACTAACCAATCACAGTCGACAGTCCCTGATAACAAAGCAACTCATAATTATGGTAAAAGCATCCTTAATTACTTATTTGACTTCAAATCTACCTGTATCCCACTATCTTTTATGTGAGTGGAAAAAGATCCACTACTTTTTAATACTCCCTCCATATTTTAATGTGCGGGTTAGACACATTATTTAAGAAGTAAAGTAGTACATATGGGTAGTGGATAGTGTAGAAAATGTAGGAAAAATGTGTAAAGGCATGAAAAAGATAAAAGGTAGATAAAGTAAGAGTAGTTGAGTATTTATAAATGATAAATTTACAAAAAATGAAAGTATATGAAACTTTTAAATACAACGTAAATTAAAAAGAAAAGTGTATATAACTTTTAAATCGTAAATATTTAAGATGCAGAGGGAGTCATATTTCGTGTATGAAATTTAAGGAGTCATCTTATTAGTAACAGAGTTAACCGAAAGTTTGGAGAAATAAAATGCAAATCACCCTTAAATGAATGAGATGACAGTCTCGTACACTACAAAAAACATGAGATTGATACGGAATTTGGCGTGAATTTACCGATTTTTCGTGCCAAATAGCTTGTGCCAAAGTGTTTTTGGCACAGATTTGGTATATCCATGCCAAATACCTGCCAAAATCCATGCCGAAATGTTTAAATTTCTGCCGAAATGTGTACTTTTCGGTGAAATTATACTTAAGTTGTAAAATTATACGATAGTATTAGTTACAAAATTTAATATGTAAGTGATTAAAATTATACGGAGAATATAGACTAATAACTAGCACAGTCAAAAAATACGAGACTAAAGTTATGAACCCCCTTTCATATACAAGTAAATAAGTTTTATTAAGAAGTAATAAAGCATACTTCAGTTTTAAACTTTGTCCATATATATTTTCATTCCTATTTTGATGGATCTCTTTTAAAATATTGTCAAAATCACCAAATTTATGTAACTAAAAAATGCATATGATGGTACCCTGTTTTCAAAGTTAGAAGATCGATCGAACTTACCAAAATTTAAGAACAGAAATGGACCTAAATAGGAGTAAAAATGTTTTGAAATTCCAAAATAGGAGCATCATGTTTTTTATTCCCTGAATAGGAGTAAATTTCTGCCAAGTTTGGCATTACAAGGCTTTTAAACATGGCATTTTCTTCCAAACTTGGCAGATTACTCCTATTCAAGGAATAAAAAACATGATACTCCTATTTTGGAATTTCAAAACGTTTTTACTCCTATTTAGGGAATTCTCTCATTTAAGAACGATGAGACTTAAAATGTCACACACCATAATGTGCAGTACAAGTGTATTCCAATATTCAAAACATGTTTTTTAAAGTCGGGATAAAGTTTTGCTAGGAATAGAAAAAGATGAAAAAAGATTGGGGTACACACTTTTTGTACACAAAAAGTGTACACTCGTCTGTCTCCCACAGACAAATTGTCTGTCGCGAGATGAGTTGTCTGTCCCACAGACAACTCATCTCGCGACAGACAATTTGTCTGTGGGAGACAGACGAGTGTACACTTTTTGTGTACAAAAAGTGTGTACCCCTAGCAGGCCTCGAAAAAGATAGCGCTGGATGAACCATTGATGCGACCATTTAGCACGCCAAAAATAGAAACTGCACTTGCGTCCCAAAACAAATCTTGGCCATAATAATAATCTTTTTCATAAAACCGGGTTTATAGGAGAAAAGGGACACATCTATGACTTAGATTACAATACTACAAGAATATTATTTTTTATTACTTTTGTAGTTATATATATTATGCAATCATCATCACAACAATATTGTTGCACAACTTTTTATTTGTGAAGTAAAATTGAACACCTTTGTAAAATAGTCATGTATCATCAGGGGCGGAGCCAGAAAAATGTGTGAGCGGGGTCGAAATTTAATTAAATACAATATCAAAATGATGGATAATTATTCCTATTATATAATACTCCGTACTTGAGTCAAATGTTTCATATGTAGCTAAGATAATTGATAATTTAATGAGCATTTTCCGGTTAATGTATTGATATATATGTAATGTATCATATTCACACAACTAATGACTGAATAAGGTGTTTTATTTTTAAATTTAAGAATATAATTAACGTCACACATCAAATTTTGCTTATTTCAAGTTAAGATAGTGTTGATTTTTTCAGAAGTCATAACTTTTTACTCGTAATGAGTTACATGACACATAATGTATCAAATCGAAGGTATTTCAGAGTTCTACATTCTTGAACTTTCAGCAGGGTCGATTGACCACCCTGACCCCCTAGCTCTGCCCGTGGTATCATGTATGTCCAATTTTATATTACTTTATAGTGACCGATCCGAGTAGTGTGTAGTGACTTATTCATTAGATAAACTGAAAATTAACAGTAGAAAAATTAATAAAAAAATTTATAATCTGATTTTTAAAATTTCCTTACTAATAAAGAATTAAATATATCATTAGTCAAAATTGTGCATCGATATATATGCACGAAAATAAGAATGTTGGTAATAGAAAAGAAATATATATACTCCAGTATATACCTGAGGCTCGCCAACCCATTGAAAGGGCGAGGAAGCAAGGCCAACGGCTTGCTCGACATAACCTTTGTGGTACCAATCCTCCAACAGAATAGAGATTGTGCCGTTATCGTATTTAAATGGTTCCGGCTTTTTACTAGCCACTTCGATCATTCCTTGCGCTCCTTCTTGTCGTAGCATCCCATAATGCATATGGTAAAGGAATGTCCCCGCCTGCAACCCGCATTTCATTTACAAATAATATATCAATCCTAAATATATAGAGTAATAAATTAGTAATATTATCCTCCGTTTTTTTAATCTTAACATGTTGAATTTTACACTATTCATATGTTTCACTTTAACTACATTTTACACTATTATTTTATGAAAATTATTTTTGTTCAATTCGTCTCATTACAAATTTTCACAATATGATTTTAAATTTATTTTACTAATAGAAAATAAAATAGATTTACTGTCAAAGATGTGTGGTGACAAATGAATAAAGTTTACCGTTGCAACTAAAAAAGAACGAAAGAGCTATGTTATATTCTCTTTTTCCCAATTTAGTTTGCAAAGTCAACATTTTTTGGTCAACTAATAATAAAAGTCAACCCTTCTTATTGATAATTAATTCAGTTTTTAATAATTAAAATTTATATATTCATGAACTACATTAAAATCTCTTCAAATTGAAATATAATTAGAAATTGACATCCTAATTAAGTAAACAAAACGAAACTGTTTGACAAAAAAAATCAAATTTGTAAATCAATTTAGGACGGTGTAGTATTAATTAGTAGCTCAGTAGTAGTAGTGTAGTACTAAATATCCTGTTGCTAGGACACTTTATAAAAAAAGGAAAAAATCGTGCCGGCAATGAATTAACTTACTTGATCGAGGACAAATTTGTAAGACATAGTTTCCCCGGGTAGAGTTGGGCATTGGGTGACCCCCTCTGTGCCATCAGCCCATGGTGTCCCTCTCTGACATCATCAATTCATATACTGAGTATTAAAGTATTAAACTAGGCAGGGTGAAATATTTAATTAATAGTTACTCCCTCCGTCCCCTTTTAAATGGGACGGGAGATGGTGGCACGGGTTTTAAGAAAAGTGAGTTTGCGTGGTTGAAATTAATTGATAAAGTAAGAATAAAGTAAGAATGATTTTGAGCCACACAAAGTTTACCAAATGAGGTATGAGGCAATTAAATAGGAACATCCCAATATGATAAAACAGACATTTAAAAGGGGACGGAGGGAGTATAATCCGATAAAGTCACAAAACTAGGGACTAGTGAGTAGCTAGGAAGCATGGCATAGTCATTATAAAATGGATGGAGATATGGCTAGCTATGCAGGATTGAGGTACTGTCGTCTGAACTACCGAATTTTCAAAACTAAGAGTACGTACTTGGCCGGATATTATATGGATGAATAAAATATCTCGCTATACTTAATATAGGGGATAAGAGTCAGTTTAGTCCTCGAAGTTGCAAAAAAGGAGTCAAATAAGTCCTTATATAGAAGATTCTGTCCGGAAGTGTCATTTGAGGTGGCTCCCGGTGGAATTTTTTGATGAAATTTTTTGAGCATCTTATTCATTAAGTCTAGTTTACTCATATCAAATTTCAGATAAAAATTCAATCGGGAAGACATTGAAATGAATTCTTGAAGATAATTGTGCCGTTAAAAGCGTAGTTATCTTCAAGAATTCATTTGAATGTCTTCCCGATTGAATGTTTAGCTGAAATTTGGTATGAGTAAACTAGACTTAATGAATAAGATGCTCAAAAAAAATTATCAAAAAATTCCACCGGGAGCCACCTCAAATGGCACGTCCGGACATAATCTTCTATATAAAGACTTATTTGACACCTTTTTTACAAGTTCGAGTACCAAACTGACCCTTTACTCCTTAATATAGCTAGCTAGATCGAGTGTAAATACATACGGAGTATATATCTTAGGAAGTACAATTGGCACACAATTTAAAATAATGAGTATCATATGATGAAAAGTTGTGTACAAAAAACACAGATGTGTATGAAATATCGTGAATTACAAATTCTTTGTGGATAATTTTAAATGGATGAAAAAGGAAATAATTTGGGACGAAGGGAGTGCAAGGTAAAACTTTATGTATAATTAAACAAAATCAATCACCAACAATTAACCAATTCAGATTTCAAGGACTATCGGCTAATAAAAAACTGCATGCCATTTTGATAGCTAGCTTAGTGATGCAATGTGTCAAACATAAAAATGTACAAAACCATATGTTTTTCTATATTGATTAATTATTTGAAAAAATATATTGTTTGATGAGTCACCTGTGTGATGCCATGCCAATGGATGGCGAGATTTTCGGTGCCTAGATTGTTGGTGACGTCGACCACGACGGTGTCACCCTCTTCTGCTTTGATGGTGGGTCCCGGAGATTCCCCGTTGATAGTCATGGTCAGTTTCCGGTAACAATCCGGCGACTTCAGCTCGTACTTTACATCCCATCTGTAATGCCGAATTCTGGCCGCCGCCTCTAGAACTAGTGATGAGGCCGTCACGACGAAGACGATGAAGCAAAGGGCTGATGATGATGATGATGAAAACGTCCTCCTCCCCATCTGATGGCCGGCCGGAGTGGAACAACAATTATTATTATTATTATTAATAAAAACGCGTGGCCAGTTTCTTTATAAGTTCATGCGGAGTATGATTATGGAAAGAATGTACACGCTTGTATTTATAGGAGTTTTTTAAAAGAATATTACTAAAATAAAACTTACTTACGTAAATGTGACTATTCATTACTACAACATAGTGTTGTGGTAACTTAAGTTCAAAACTTGAACATGAATTACCATGATTTCATTACTACTCTAGTAACTAGTCATAGTTTTGTAAATCATCTTTATTTTGGTCATATTTATATTTATGTAATTATTTCTATTTTTTTTATAGTTGCAAGCACGATTATAATAAACACTGAACCGGTCAACTTGGACGGTGATGAAACCCGAAATTTCCCGGTCCGATCGAGCTTTGTGATTAATAAGGAATGAATGTAAATGGACTGGTTCCCGGTCAACTCCTTCCCTCCCTAGTCTAATGGTACGTATGAGCTGCAAAGTGCAAAGTGGTGCCCACTTTAATGTTAGGTGGAAATTATCTCCACACTTCCTACATAACAATAATTACCCCCCATGCTAGACTACTTTTTACGGAACTAGTAAACTCACCCGTGCGATGCACGGTTTGAGATTTTATCTTTCAAATCTATGTGTGCTTAGTAATTCAAATCACAATATCAATTAATGACAACATCTATCTTCATGTAATACTGATATGCATCAAAGCATTAAACAAAACACACTTATAATATTATGGTCAAAATGAGAGTGCTAAGCATTACTTAAAAGATCAAAAACATCCAACAAATACGTTGAAACCATGACATTATAAATATGCATTTAATGTAAATCTAAACATTGTTGAACACTTTTTTGAATACAACATTCTGAGTCTTGTCAGTGGTTCCTCCATCTTCATCAGCAATTAGAATTTCATACCACAACGATTGGTAACCCTTGATACTGTAACATACAACTATCCGTGGACAAAGATTGACCTTGACCTTTATTTATAGTCATAGCGTATGAAGTCATAACAGGATATTGTCGCCTATGAAATTTGAAAGGCAAGCTAGCATCGGATGACGTCAAGGACAATATAGGAATTGATATTTTTTTATGGCGTCATCGCACGGTTGATGATTTCTTTCATAAAAATGTACATAACTACACAATACATGTACTATTGAAAGAGTCCCACCTTAGAGGAAATACGTTGAACATTCGTGCGATGCACAATTGGTGAAATTCCACAGGTGTAGTTAGTTTTAATTAAATTTATTTTGAAATAAAACTAAACTTGTAATTTTAATTGAATATGACTAAAAATGTTATACTATATACTATATTAAGTTTTTATAGTATGTATCACACACTATAATGTTGATTGGCTTTTATTAACCCAACCACACAAAGTTGAATATGACTAAAAAAGGCATTTTCAACAACAAAACCAATGTGCCACAATGACTGCTAACATTTGAAGTTGTTAATAGGAATGCTTAGGAATCAACACATTTTAGTTCACACTAACTTATGTCAAAATCATCTCTTTTAGTAAAATGTTTTGCTAGTAATTCACCTTGCGATGCGCAAATGATTTTACCATTTTTTTCATTTTCAGAGGTTTATAAAAATTAATTGAAGGTAAACTATTTATAATGACTAAGTAATAAGGTGACTAAATTTACATGAATTGCATTTTTAGATGAATTGTCTCTCTAAATAGGTAAATAAGGGAGTAAAATATGTGAAAGTGTGTCATGTCATTCTTAAATTATACTTGAATCTAAATTTGTGGGAAAATGTTCAAATAGGTTCTTCTGCTATTTCTAATATCCAAGTATGGTCTGGTCTGGTCTGTTTAAGTCCAGTTTGGTCTGAGACTGAAATAAGTCTAAGCATAAACGTCTCAAGTAATATGGTGACTATGCGTTTTATGAATTGCATTTTTTACACGAATTGCCCTGGTAAATTGGCAAATCAGGGGGGTGTGCAAATATGTGAAAATGTGTTATGACAATATTAAACAATACTCAAATATGAATTTGTGAGAAGTATATGAAAAGTAATGCTATCATTCAAGCACAATAACTTTCGAAACACATTCAATAGGTAGAATCTATAGTAGTTCTTAATTAAAAAAATAAGTACAACTCCAGTGCGATGCTCAGTTGGTGAAATTTAAAGTGCGGAGTTTCACTCAAATTAGAAAAACAAACAAACATCCACAATAATAAAGTATATTTGAAAACAAACAAACAAACATACACAATAATCAAGTATATAGTAACACTCTATACAAATATAATTTGAAATCAAATTACATTCTATGCTTGACTTTATGAAAAACTTGTTTATACAGAAAATTCTTGGTTTCACATTTCATTCTCATGTCATCATTTGTGTGCTGATTTTTTACGTTTAGCGGTTGCTTACTGTTGACAAAGTCGTGTAAAGATGACCATGACTAAAAAAAGTTTTTTAAAAAACGAACCAACACACGGCAACGAAAAATGCATAAAACACACGTGTGATACACAGTGGGTGAGTATTTTCTAAATTATGAGCCCGTTTGATGGCCCGAAAATCGGCTGATTTGGCCGATTCCGCTGAAATTTATGGAGTTCTGGGTGAAGTGGCTGTATTGACGGATTCTGTTGATATAAGATAAAATTAATTTTAAAATATATTATATAAATAAAATAAAGAAAAAATTATTTGTAAAAATAGCTAAAATGATCATCTATAGTAACTCTAGTCAATATAGCCAGAAAAGTAACTTCAATCTTACTTTTTCTGTTTATTACACAATTCTGCGCGCGAAAACAAAAGTTACGTCTTTAGTGAAAAAATTAGCTGATAAGCCGAAAAACTGTGTAGCCAAATGCCTCTAAGAAGTTGTTCTCTTCACCTGATCTGAATGTTTCTGATCTGAATTTATTAAGTTCTAATCTGATCTGGTCTGAATTTTTCTGATGTGGTCTGATCTGAATCTTTCTAATCTGACCTGATTTGAATATTTATTATTTTCAATCTGAATATAATTATAATTATAATTATAATTATAATTATAATTATAATTATAATTATAATTATAATTATAATTATAATTATAATTATAATTATAATTATAATTATAATTATAATTATAATTATAATTATAATTATAATTATAATTATAATTATAAATTTAAAATGATTTTAATTATAATAATAATTATAAAAAAATTATTATATTTATAATAATAATTGTAATTCAAATTCAGATTATAATAATTATACCTATTACACTAATTATAATTATAGCTATAATTATAATTGTAATTCCATTTTTTTAATTATAATTATTCCTATAATTATAATTGTAATTATAAATATAATATTTGTTTTATATAATTATAGTTATAATCTCTCTAAAAAATATAATCATAGTTATAATTATAATTATAATTATAATTATAATTACTAATTATAATTACAAAGTATACTAATAATAATAATAATAATAATAATAATAATAATAATAATAATAATAATAATAATAATAATAATAATAATAATAATAATTAGAACAACAATAACAATAAAAGTAATAATAATTATTATCATTCTTATTAAAATTATTATAATCATAAAAGTGATAAATCATGTTTGAACTTTTCTGATCTGATCTGAATGTCCCTGATCTGATCTGAATGTTTCAGATATGATTTGAATGATTCTGATCTGATCTGATCTGATCTGAATCTTTCTGATCTGATTTGATCTGAATAAAATAAGAATAAGCAATAAGTAATAAGAATAAGAGGAACAGAACAACTTCTAAATAATTAAATTTTAGGTTCAATTGAATATTTTTACATATTTGGGGTATCATAGATTTGTGACAAATCCAACCCACAAAATTGGTAGCCTTATACGGATCTTAAAAACGGCTCAAGGAAACAGCCAACCACATAAAACATCAACAGTAACCCAAATCCCACGCCTAACATCAACACGATCCCACACCAGAACATTCGAAGATCTCAATCTCTACAACCTGCTTCCCAGAATGGATGGCGTTGACTTCTCTTCTCCTGGCCGTAGGAGAATTAAGACGATCCTCGCTTCTGCCCGTGCTTGCTCTTGGATTTTGGTAGCCTGGTTGATTTGGAGGTTTCCGTCGCTGCGAAGGAATGATTTGTTCGCTTTTGGGTCGCAGGTACTGTATTTGTTCCTTCTTGGATGTGATTATGTAGAAATGAGCCCGTTTGAGCATGAGTTGCGGTTTGTTCTCGTGTTTCCATTTTTTTTAGAGTTCGATATTTCTTGTAGACTCATTTGGATCTAGCATGAGTGTTGGTGTTAGAGGGGTCTTCAAGGAGTGATCTGTTGGAGTAGATTGTTGGTTGTCTAACCAATTTGTTGAAGGTTGCAGCTAAGTCTCCTTTCTTTGAAGGTTGTCTAACCAAATCACCCCCAAGACATTGATTCAATAAATAAATATTTGCTTTTGTGATTTTGAAAAATTATGACCTATCAACCACGACTGACTTCTAAATTCAGTACTAAAAGTTTATTTCTTGGATTCTTCATCCGGAATATTAATATCCAAGAAAATATGTAAATCTGCCACTCAGTTTGGGGGCAGGATTACATGTAAAATTATTTACTCAGTTTGGGGGCAGCGGCAGGATTACATGTAAAATTATTTTATGCACCTTTGGAACAATTTACATGTAAAATTATTTCATTCACATTTTTTAAATAAAAGAACTACACAATAGTATTTATTATTGAAATGATAATACAATGTTACGAAAGTTCATAGTATTAGGAAATATATCAATTATAAGACCTGCCAAGGTGAATATTATTGGCCTAGACAGTCCACAAATGTTTGTATTATTAATACAAACCCTTATAAGAACTGCCTAGGTGAAACTAATTGCCCCTGGTATGCCAGCCAATCACGGGGTGATATATGGTACTTTATATGATGGAAAACCGGTTTTTTCGTGCACACTTGTGATTCCCCCGAAACAAATTTTCAGATTTTACTTTAAGATTTGAAATTTGTTGATTTCTAACTCAGTATCACACGTTGACATGCAGGGTTTCGTCG